CCTGCGGCCCCGGAGCCTCCGGGACGCGGGGAACAGCAGCCCCGGCCGGTTCAAACGCAGGTGCTGGAGCCGCCGGGCTGAGGTTACCGGGAGCGGGCGGCTCCGCGGGTGTGTCCAGAGACACAACTGTGTGTCCTGAGAAGGGCAGCGGAGCCGGTGAAGGGGCCGGAGAACAGTCCTATGAGGAGCGGCTGAGGGAGCTGGGGGTGTTTAATCCCCCTCAGGGGTGCCCCTATTGCTCTCTACGACTCCCTGACTGGAGGATATAGCCAGGTGGGGGTCGATCTCATCCCAGGCAACCAGCGACAGAACGAGAGGGCACAGTCTCAAGCTGTGCCATGGAAGGTTGAGGTTGGACATCGGGAAAAATTTCTTCACAGAAAGGGTGATTAGACATTGGAATGGACTGCCCAGGGAGGTGGTGGACTCACAGTTCCTGAAAGTGTTTAAGGAAAGACTACTTGGCACTCAGAACCACGGTCTAATTGTCAAGGTGGTGTTCGGTCATAGGTTGGACTTGATGCTTTCAGAGGTCTTCCAACCTCATTGATTCTGTGAGTTACTGGGATCTCTGGGATCTCTACCCCTCCCACCAACCCCTGCTGCAGCCAAGGCCAAGGTCCACCTGGGACCAAAGGTCGGGGACGGTACCTCAGCCCCTGTGCCACTTGCCCTTGTACTGACTGAGTCATTTATTCCTTCACACAAACTTCCATGGACTAAATAAATAAATATAAAAGTTTCCCTGCAGCTACAGTGATCCTCTTGGCTTCAGTTGCATCCCTGCGGAGAGAAAGGCCCTTCCCTGTGCAGGTGAATGGATTCAGCCCTGGAGCACAGCAGGTACTTAATTTGTAGTGATGTACAAGTGATGAGGGGCTGGGGTGACAAAGGACACCTCACAGCCCTCAGTGCCTCATGGGGCTCATGATCCAACAGACCTTCACTGAGACAGAACAGTTCACGATGGGAGAGATATACCTGGTTGAAGTCAATCACGTGGAGTGCACCTCTGTTCACATGGAAAATGGAATTTCAACTAAATCATACAGAGAGTGTCTGATGTGCAGCACCTGCTCAAGAACTAACTTTTCTCTGGTGATACTCTCTTGTGCTTCACCTGTATCAAAGAAAGGTGAGGCACAGCGTAGCAACATTTTGACTTCTCATACTTTCTGCTAAACAAAGACATTAGTATCTCTGCTATTACCATTAATCTTGGTACAATTCCTTACAGTCAAATCATTATTCTTATCCCACTCATTGATGCAAGGAACCACTCAGTTTATCTTTTAACAAATAAGACTAAGAGTCCTCTTTACAAAGCATATTTAAACACTAGTATTAGATCTTCCCCAAGGGGATGTTGTTATCTTTCATCTTTACCCGATTTCTTCACTTTGCCCAAGTAATGTGCTTTGGTAGCCCAAGCACAATTTTCTCATCTTGATAATAAAAATGAGAGAAGAGCCAACAGGTCAAAAAAAAAAACAGCATAGTTTAAATCATGCTTGCTTCCATGGCGTGGAACAAATATTTGAATGCATATCCTAGATCATTGCATATTTACCAAGCTACTGAATATTCTAGTGTCCTGTGGGATCTGTTCCACATTCTATAAATCAATGTTTATTGGACTAGAAGGGGAGAGAGAGAGAACTTAACTCTTCCTGTGGAGGCCATCTGCACACATTCTGTAGGTTCATTTGTAAAAGCAGCTACAAGAGCCATAATTTTGGAAAGTATCTAAAGAAAGTATGTACATATATAAAGGGAAAAAAAATTATGAAGCCTGATGTTTACACCGGCATCAGAATGGAAGACAACATAAAAGGCAGGAATAAAACTTTATTCAACATAAAAACAGAAATGTTCAAATGTTACAACTTCCAGCAAGAAAATTATTGATACATTCTATATTTTTTATCTCAGATGCTGGGGATACAATTGATCCCACCAAAGCAGTAAGAAATCATGGTACTGACTGATATGAGAACGACCTGTCCTTCACTTCTTACACTTGTTGATTCTGGAGGCCTGAAGCCAGAAAAAATGATCAGCAGCATCACGTGTGGTGGGAAGATTTACCTAAAAAGCAGCATTTTAGTACTTGGATGAAGAGCAATCAGGCTGCAAAAACTAGATTATTTTCTGAGAAAGCTGTACACGTGGCAGGCTAAAGCAATGCTCAGAAGGGCTTAAAAATGTTCTGCTGAAACAATGAGCATGAAAATGGGACCAGCAGGAAGTTTGTGTTTGTCTGATGAGCTGGGTTTATTTAGCCCATCCAAGGACTACTGAGCACACTGGGGACATTGTACAGAGGAAGACAAGAGAACTGGGAAATGTCCAAAATTAGCATTTAAGAGATACATACCCTGGCAGAATACTAATAGTTGTAAAATGAACATTTAACATATGGATAAAGTAATGACTGGTTCAAGAGTTCCCATTAGAGATATAATAGGAAACGTAAATTAATATGAGAGCAAATACTACGCTATAGAAGTGAATAAATGTACCAAAGGAGAGCTGGAGGCTTGATCCAAACTGCTGGATCATCCAACCAAACCAGCATTAAGGCAGCTACGTGGAGCATTTGCACAGCTATCAAGCATCCTGACCAAAATAAAGGCAGTGGCACTGCAGATCCTGCCCACAGCAGAGCAAAGCTGAGCCCATCCAAGGCCCTGGAGGAGGCACGTGGTGGCCACAGAGTGAGCAGCAGCTCCATGGGGATCAGCTGTGGTGTGGGATACATGGACACCAGGAGAGAGGGAGGAGAGAGCCAGTCTGAGACACAGATCTTAAGGAAAGGATCAAAATGTCAGTTGCTGGAGAAATGGAGAGGATGGGAATGGAAGTCAGTGGTTCCAGGTCTTGATTGTCTTAAAAACATTGGAGAAATTCTGTGCCAAAGAGGAAAAGGCACTCAGAGGTGGCAAACTGGTGCCACCTTCACAACCACAACACGGTGCAGGGTCAGGGCCAGCATTTGTGGATGACAAACAGCAAAATGGAGCAATTTTGTGAGAAAAGCCTTGATATTTAACAAGAATAACATTTATATGAAAATGACAGCAAGCAGCTCTTCTCATTATTTACAATGTAAAACAGTCATTTAGTTGTTATTTACACTGATTATTCAGTTATTCCTTGAATACAGTGAAAAGGGTAAAGATGAAATTAAGATGTCTTAAAAGCATTTAAATATTTTGAATTTTCATATTATAAATATAAATATTATTGATAATTTAAATGTAAACTAATTGCATTTTAATTTTAAATGCAAATCTATATTTAGATTGTTTCCTCAGTTTCTATCTCACTAAAAAAAAAAATTATGGACAGTTTTACATGTTAAGAGAAACTTCCTTCCTCGTGCATGTGCTGGTATGTTTTTAAATGTATAATTTCTGTAGCCGTTAAACAAAATTGACTTATTACACCAATAACAGAGTAACATAATAATTTAAAATGTGTTTAAAAATTATTTACATTTATAAAAATGTATTTAAACTGCCATTATTCTCTCAAACCTTGCCCGTGTAGCAAACTGTGTGCTATGGACAGTCCTGTTGATTTTGATAAGCCCTGTGCCTTGCACGTTTCCACTGCAGGAAATTCAAAAGCAAACCTACAGCCCCTGTTAGGAACCATGGAGTCTCTCTTCCTGTCACATGCTGAAACTGCTCCCAGTTCTTCTCCCAAGGCTTCCACGGTATCGTTGGTGAGATGTCACCTTTTATTAGCAGGCTCGCTCTCGGATACTCTAATGCACATTGAAAACACAAAATGCACATCATCCATCTTTCATGTGACAGCTGCATCCCACCTTCTGAACTTCCAAGCTCCTGGCACACCTGGGTCAAGGCTCTGCTAATAAAATGATGCCGAGTGACAGGGGGAGAGGGAGTCAACTGACTACAAGCATTTGATAAACTGTTACCTGCAATTTCTTGCATTTGTTGCCTCGGGCAAAGGCACTAAAGAGGAAACAAGTCACTGCAAGCCCCGTTTGTCCAACTGGGTGAGTGGAAAGGAGGATGAAAGGCAATATACTCCTGTTACTTACAGCTTTATGATTTTAATCCATTTTGTCAGGGAAATACCTTTTGGTCCATCGAGTAATGTGATAAACTATTCAAACAAAGGGAAGAATTAATGTTTCTGTACTGCTGCTATGTTTGTTAATATGATTCTATGATTCTACTATTTCATGAGTTATCAGATGCACAGTGTTTCAGTTTAACCATTAAGGTTATACTTGTATCTAGATAGTCATTTTTTTATAGTAAATAAATAATATATTAAACACAGAAAACAAATAATTTGATACAATTATTCAAATTATCTGATGTATACATATTATTGACTCATGATAATTGAGACTTATTTTCTAATATTTTGATATAGACTTGTCTTATTTTGATTTGTTAGATAATTGCAAACTTTTAGAAGAGAAATCTGTAGATCCTTTGAAGTCAGACCTATTTTAAGTCAACTATTTTGGAAAACACTGTTCCAGCATAGTGGTATCCTAATACAGCTCAGTCTGGTGATGTAAATGAGTGGAGCATTTTCCCAAAACTTAATTACAGTTCAGAAGTATTGGATGTTATTATGTACCTGGTGTGAGACTGATGCTTGTTTTAATTACTGCAGTGGTTACTGTGGTCAAAATCCATGTTTGCAAAGGCAAAGGAGAAAGAGCTTTTCAGAGTTTCCAGAAGAACCCACAGACCTGAATTTTTATGTGCGGCAGAAGACACAGAAAAAAAGATAGGAATGTTCAACTTAGGCTCTTCTCTGGGATCAGCATCATATGGAAGAGATAAAAATAGAAGCTAAAAAAACCAGCAGTTGATCCAGACTGAAACTGTCTTCTGCTCCTGGAACTATTCCTGGCTCAGAGAGGAAAAGAGGGAGAAAAGAGAAGTGTCCCACCTTGGAGATGACTCAATGGAGAAGGGAGTAGAATGCCACATGGGCTCTCTGGTCCCAAGTGCCCGGGAGTTTGCCACACCTCAGGTGTTTATAGGTGTGACTGTGGGGCTCACACAAACCCTTGCAGGCCTCTGCCAGTGGCTGCTGGAAACAGAAGCCATCCCTTTTAGTCTCAGTCATTCTGTATGAGAATGAACTAAGATGCATTCCACAAAGCACTTGATAGAGAGGAAAACTCTTAGGTAGGAAATTACTTCTCAGTACGCCACTTGAGAATGTGGAATTCCTGCTCAGCTTACAGTGTCCTCAGCAAAAATTAGAGATTGAGAGCACAAACAGAGTGAAACAGTCAAAGTGACCTCAATACAGAGGAACAGAGTTAAAAAAAAAAAAAAAAGAAAAAAGCAGGACTTAACCATGTGCTCAAGCTTGAAGTACATGAAAGTAACAGTGACATACTCGGTGACTGCTGGGAACTTGACCTCAGTGGGCTCTGCTCAACCTTCTCAGCAGCAGCAGAGTCACATCATCAAGTGGCTTTGCAAGGACAGAAGATAATTAAATGTGATCACATCAAGCAGAGCAAAGCACAGTGCAGTAGCAAAAATGCAGTAGTAGTAAAAATATTTCCTAATTATAAAATTCCTTAAATGATTGCTTCTTTTCTTTCCAGGGAAACAAAAACCTGGCATTGGAAAGGTTCAAGCAGGCTGACCATAAAAAGAGGCAAACAGATGCATTTTCTTGTTTTGGTTCTTCCCTCATCCCTGCACACATCTACATCTATGCTTGGATTTGTATTTTGAGACTGCAAGGGGCAGAAGGCAAGAGATTTATTCCAACATGCTGTGCCAAATCCCCAGTACAGTGCTGAGCAACTGGGACTAGTCAGGCTGGGAATTAATTGGTTGCTAAAAACAATAAAAGATGGGAGTACTTTTACAAGACATCTAACATGCTGACTGTATAAAATTAGGCTGGAATGACATTAATAAAGCAAGCTCTCAAGTGTCAAGAATGAAAGAAGGTCAGACATTCTGCACTGAGGAAATCTAGATCTCACCAGAGGGGACATCCACTGTCATTATTCTGTTTTGTCTTCACAACAACTTTAAGCCAGACAGGAAAAAAAAAGCCAAGCTTGAGAGTTGAAAGACTGAGTAGGGAGAGTAGATAAATGGTTAATAATAAAGAATTGGAAAGACAAGTCGAATTTTTAGAATCACATACAGTGAAAGCTGGTACAAAACAGTTATTGATGACAAGCGAGGCTGTTTTGAATGTATACGTTATACATCTTACTATTTTTGTTTGAACAGGTATCATGCATCACCAAAATCAGTGGAATTATACCACTACAAACATATGTTTAGTTTATACATAACAAGAAATAACTGAATTAATTTTCCAAGCCTGCTTTTCCATCTCTCTCCTTTATTCAGTTATTTCGTTTGGTTTGGCTTTATGAAGGAATCCTGGACTCACCGTGGCTCGAGGGCCCACAGGAGATCTCTAGTCCAAAGCAGGTGCTGAACACCTCCAGGGATAGCTGATCCACAGCCTCGCCAGGGAACCTGCCCCAGCCTCTGCTGGATTTGCTGAGGTTTATCCCCACCCTTCTTACACTTTCATCTAGAATTAAGGTTTAAAGAAATAGTCCAAGGAACTTCAGTTCAATGCACCGATGTACCACAATTCCTAAAGCTGAACAAGGGTATCCCCACACGCTGTACCTTCCTTGCACTACATTCCCCCTGCCTGTTGCCTTGGATCTCATGTTGGGATTCCATGGCTTTTAGGCAAAGAACTGTATCTTTATACTTGTTCGGAGTCCAACCCCAAAAAAAGTCTGGGGTGGAGGGTGTCTCTTAACTTTGCTGAAGCAATGGCATGGTTATTTCCAGGTGATTTTCTGGGTGATTTTACTTCACTCTTTTGTCTTCTCCTGCATTTTATTTGCCTCACCTAACATTTCATGTTGTTTATTGCTCTTCTTTCCATTAGTAGCACTCTGTATTTTTATCCCCTGTAAATACAACACATGCTCCTGCTCCTTTTCTTGTAATGCTTCCAGCACTGCACAAATATATCTGCATTTTCCTTATCTTTGTCTTTCATCTTAATTCAATACATGCTGTATCCACCTCACTACTTTCCTCTCAACTAAGTTGTTCTAAATTGTTTGGTGTGAGGAGAGAACAGTACCAGGATAGAAAGAACTGCTTTACCTTTTATCACCTGGGTATCGTAACACTGTGTGTATTGTTTTCAGTTTAATTATGTTGTATCACTTGGCAAAAATTAGTTCAAAATTTGAGAGTTCAGGTTCTATAGGAGATAAAATTAAAAATAATTTTATGGTTTTATATATAATAATACTCAGCCTTTAGCCTGGTAATTAAAATATCCTCTCCATCAATTGGAATTAATTGCTTTGTAAATGGTGTGTTACTGTAGCAGTGACACAGTATATGATGCACAAAAAAAGCAGGAGTTTTACATCACAATTCTTACAAGATGTTTTAATTCTGACTTTCATTTTTTTATAGTGCTCATCACCATTAGCTTTAATGCTTTACCTCATTACACTGTTTTTAGTTGCTAGTATGTTAATAGCTTTTCTTAATGTGCCCAAATCAGAAAGAGTAAATCTTTGTGTAAATCTTTTTATTAGTCATCCATAATCCACAAGTAATTCTTGACCTGTAGGAACCAGGTTTGTTTTTATTCCCCCTCTCAAGGTGGCCAATAATTGTATTAGGAGCTCTATTTTGCTCATACTGAACTCCCTCCAAAACTCTTCTTATTTTGACTGAGAGTGAATTATTTATTGTGGATACAAAATGTCCTTTAAGACAGTGAATCCAAATCCACGTACAAGAAGTAGTACAGTTAAAGCTGATATATAGCAAAGTCTCCAAATCACCCATTCCACGGAAAATGAAGACTTTCTGCCTGCTCATGCATAGCAGTCTGAGGGATAACTGGCTAGCTAAAACACCACTTAATTTATGGTTATTCATGTAGATGTTACAGCTCTGTGCTATGTCCTCTATGCTGCCTTTTGTTATAGGTTGGAAAATGAATTTATTCTTTTTCCCTATAGCAATCCTTTCCTGGGAGCTCTTTCAAGAAGTGGGCTGTAGTGTAGCTCATTACAATTTAATCTCTTATATTTTAATAAGTATCCTACAGGGTTATTAAGGTGTTAGAATTATCTCTAAAAAAAAAAAAGAATTACATCATTAGTTATCAAATTAAGAAAATTTGTCTCCCAAATACATTCTGTTTGAATAGAAATAAAACAATTTTATAAAAAATGAACCCTGTTACCAGTAACTTGTTTGTTTTCGGAAGCAGAAAATATTTTTTTTGAAAACCACAGAGAAATAATGTTTCAAAACAAGTAAATGCATTTCAAAGCATAATTGTATAATTTATCAGGATGAAGGTTTGGTCCCTCCAACACAGTCACATACTGTGTTGCACTGCCATTATAAATGGAGCCATTACTTCTCCTAATAAATTTGAAAAACTGCCTGAAGTACCAATATTTTTTACTAACACCCAAACTGCATGCACCCAGTTATTTAAAGGTAGCATGGACAGGCAGCATTCCCACACATTCACTGTTAAGGGAACTTTTAGAGCCAGAGCACCGAGTGCCTACCCGGGAAGCAGCTTTCTGGAGGCTCTGGCAGGCAGTGGTGGTGTCTGGAGCAGCCCAAAGGGATGCTGTGGAGCCCAGCAGGAGAGGAGAACCTGGGCGGATTGTCCACCGAGTGCCGTGGGGATGAGCAGTTCTGGTTACTCCCAGGGGTTCCCTGCAGGGACATGTGGTTCTTGTTGAGACTCAGAGGGTCACCATTCCAACTGGACACTGAGGTGACACCTGGGCACACAGCAGACAGGAGTAAGATCAGATGATGGTCTCTGAGACACCCACAGCTTTTATAAATGAGTAGTGAGAGACAATTCAAACAAGTTTGGAGAGCAGCTTCCACAGGGAAGGTGCTGAAGAAAGAAGCCCCTGCACTCCAGCTGCCTGCCTTTGCAATTTGGCTGCCCAACCCTGGCCACCACAGATGTCAAGGCCACGTGTTCCCAAGTGACTTGTCACCAGAAGCTGCAGGAGATGTCAGGTCTGCACCTCACAGAGCAGTGAAGTCCAGCCCCTGTGTCCTGTGCTCAGGGGGAGCAGGACCATCACTGGGATACATTGCCTGGCATTTGTCCCCAGGACTCAGAAATTAATTTGATGAACAGCCACCACCTCACAGAAATTGTTCTCCCTCCCCCAACCAAACATCCTGCTACAGATGGACTTACTGGTAATTTTCTGAGCCACAAATGTATCTCGTAATCTCTCTGGCAGCTGATCATCACTACAGAACCAGGCAGCAGAATACACTTGACCACAGAGAACCTGAAATGAGTAGAGCAAATGAGAGCTAATTTTTAAGTCCTGAGTCCTAAAAACTGTTTCTTACAGTAAGTGTTCTCTCAAGTGCTGGCTAAAAATTGCAATTTTCAATAAACTTAAAATATAATATCATTACTGTGGTAAAATATGTCATTATTACTGGAAAAATTAAATAGCAAGAGGCTGTTGTTATATATAACAGCATATACTGCCTTGTATCTTCCTGCTGATAAGGCAGGAAACTGCAAAGTACTTCCAAGATTGATGAATCAGTGCCGGTTCCTAAACTGGGAGTGAGGTGGAAATGGAAATTCACCACATACAGCCAGAGTTGCCCCACAATATTTGAGTACAAGTACATTTTGCAAAGTGGTCATTAATTCTGGATCTGCTCATTTTTAGTATCCAAATCAATACCTCAGCATTGTGATTTGTGAAGATGGCACTTATTAAACGAGTTCCATTTCAAGTGCTAAGCTACAGCTGTGATGTATGTAAGAAGTGCTTATCAAATATTTGCCTCCAGATGCAATTATTTTAGCAGTAAATTTTTGAAATGTTATCTCACTTTATGCCCAAATCCAGTTGCATTCCAATGTTTTTATTGGAAATAAGCTATATCAAAGGCAGTCCTTGTCTGTGAGCAGTAATATCATAGGCTGCTCTCCACAAGCTTTTTATTGCTAATCTTTCTCTGCTGGAGACTTGCGTGTATTTTAGATGAACTTTTTCTTGTGCTGATGCTTTGCATGTGGAGTAATAAAAAGGTTTATCAATTTACAATCCATCTGAAACCAGTGAGCATTTATGAAATAATTGACTTAGTTCTTTGGGCCTCGCTTCAGTTGCATTTGAAAACAATGTTAACTTTTCTGGATGGGTAAATAGCACAGTAAGAAATGAACACAGTGTCCATCATGAAGGACTTCTGTAACAGCTTTCAGTGTACAAAATACCTATTCCAGTTTTTAAAAATGTTAT